TTTAACCATTAATTGCTCACAGCTGGCCTTTGGAGTTTTTTTCTCAAAAACAGATGTTAGGGTTTCATCTTATTCTTTTGCTGAGTGTATATCTGAAAACGATGGGCTCTTTTGGTCACACTTGGAATGTATGTATGTACGTGTTGTTGAATATTGTTTTTTTCAAAAGTATAGAAAATTGTTGGTCCAAACATGTGGTTTTCCAGGGCATCTTGGATGTCTTATGTTCACTGTTTTGTACGTGCTGGTGTTCACTGACTTTGTATACGTGTGTTGTCTATTGAAAAAAAAATAGCATTTTATTCTATTGACTTTATCTTAGAGGTCGGAACTTGAGCGATGATGACAGGTGCCCATTTGCGTAGAAAATGCACATGGTTCAAGTTCATGAATCAATCTCTTTGAAATACGGGTAAGATTAAGATTCTCAATGAACTATGTCTAAATTACCGACACCAACCCATTTATAATTGTTTATAGTCAGATTTGTATATTGCTAAGTTTGTGTTTTGTATAAGCTATGTTTTGCAGATTTGTGTTGTGTTTCGCAAAATTTATGTCGACCGATTTATTTGATTAGCCCTCCCGAACCCGCCGAGCACTAATCCAAATCTAAACATATTAATTATGTATCAATTTTATGTCAGGTACGTGGGTCGTGTCTAGAATTATAGGTAAGATTGCTTATCGTTTACCTCCTCCACACCCGATAGAGTCTTGTGCACTAGATGCCACCATTTTCCATCCTAAAAAATCAATGGCTGGATTACTTTTGATTTGGTTCAATGCCAAATTCTGTAAATCAAATCAGTGTGAGAATTTCTTTCCTCCGTACACGTAAGTTTGCTTGGTTTCTCTATGTTGTAAGTCAATACAGTTGAAAAATAGTAAGTTTCTTCATATTTTTGTACCAATAAAAGTCAATTTCGTTGCATTTTCTTCTTCTCTGCAGGGTTTTTGTTGGGCATATATATATATATGTACTCCTGTTTTATATATACAATTTCTAGAGGTCAAATAAACATGGTTGTTGTCTTAGTTGGGTCAACTTTAGACCTTTCATTTTCTGTTAATTTTCCTTCTCTTTCCTCATTGTCCTGGTGTGCCAGAATTGAATCAGCGGCTGGACTCTTATGAATTTGAAGATTACTTTTAAATAGTATTTAGCATATATGCACTGCTTGAACTGACTTTTTCTTGGAAAATTTCTTTTCCAACTAATCCCATCTTTTTTTTTTTTGTTCAACGGTTAAGGATGTTTAGACCAACTTACGTGCACCCCAACTAGTCCTTTTTTTTTTGCTCATCTCTCCCCCCCTCTCACCCCCTTTTTTTTTGCGAGAACCTCTCTAAGACAAGATTACATGTAATAGATCCTCTTGCAGAGTAAACCTAGATGAGTAATATTATTGAGATCTAAAAAAACTAACATAATTTGCTAAGTTAATAATGTGTCAAGTGATGGAGTCCTAATGAAGATGCCCAAAAGTTACAATCACAATAATGCTATTAGACTAGGTCACTGACTCACTGTGACATCATTAGGTCAGTAATAATATTAGTTTTTCGCATCCCAATAGTATTACTCAACTTACGTACCTTCAAGCGCCCACTAATTATCACAAGTATCAGTTAAACACGAGGGTCAAATAACTCGAGAGTCGAACCCAGTATGCTTGAGCTTATAGTTTGCCCCAAGCTAACTCCACAACACTAAGTAATTACGGGTTTTTGACTACCGTTTTAGTTAATATTTTTTGGTATTGTGAAAAAGGGGAAGTTGGAGAAATGCAATATTGTAAGATATATACCATAGTTTCAGTGTAATTTAGTGTGAATTTAATACAGCTGATTAAAATTTTGGTAAGAAATTTTGATGAAATTCAGGTGAGCATGTCAGAAGAAACTACATGGAATTTTGCTGAGTAATGTGACTTTGAACAAAATCATAGTCTCTTTTTTTATATACAAAAACTGATTAACTTTTCAAAAGTAAAAATTAAATTTCCTCTGCAGAAATTTTTGGTGAACCACTCATTCATCGTACAATATTGTTCGTATGTGAACCATTTTATTAATCAGAAATTTTAGGACTATGTTATTTTTATATCAAGAATAATACATCTTTATGGATATAGAAAGTAGGGTATGACTGCAAACTTAAAAAACTTATGTTGCCAAAAATTGTTAGTAAATAGTTATTTGGGGTGAAATTATGTCTGGAAAAGGTTAGATACAACTCTTTAAATCACGACTAGTGAAAATTAAGATTGATTTCAAATAAACTTGTTTTATTAAAATATCACCAGATTAAATCGTAATCTCACCCTTATTCTATAGTAGTTTTTAGTACGATAACTCTTTCATACGAGGGGCAGAACCACTCGGTGCAGTTGCGCCCAGTCAAATTTTATTTTATTTTTAAAACAAATTTCTGTAGGCGATATGATGTAAAATAAATTTGTTCCCTCAAAAAAAAAAAAAAAAACTCTCATGCATCTTGATCCACTTAGTCATCTCTCACATTTAGATTAAATTTATGCCTTTTATTTTGAAAACTGTTATAGTTGGTTTGCTAAATCTCATCGATGTTATTGATAAGGGGAAATTGTACTTTACACCTTAAAAGATTTAAAAAATTTTATTTTAGACTTTTAAAAATTAAATTTTTTACATTGTACCCTCGATATATTAAAAGAATTATAATTTGACCGTTCTGTTAGCTTATGCTGTTTATTCTGTCAAAAATCACCCCATTGACATTGATAGAATAAGTAACGGAAGCTAACGAAAGGACCAGATTGAAACACTTTTAATACATTAAAGGTACAATATGAAATATCTAATCTTTCAGGGTTCAAAGTAAATTTCACCCTATTGAAAAACCATTTTGAGCCTTTGTGTTATCTCTCTCCTTATATCTTGTTCAGTCTCTCATTCTCTCACCATTGTTAATTTGAATTTATAGGGAAACATCATTAAATATATTGATAATGAGATTATTATCCAATTTTTTCAAAATATAAAAAACTACTCGAAAACCCTTCAAATGTGTTGAATGTAATCGTTCCTAATCAATATTTAATGTTTGGTATTTATTATTAATTCAATCTTATACCGTGTTATTATTTAAATTTGCATCCACTATGATAATTTTTTGGCTCTGCCCAGATTCAAGAAAGAAATTTCCTGTTCGGACAGACTTGGAACAAGAGGCAACCATTGAAAGAATATAGGGGAGAGAGAGAGAGAGAGAAGGGGGAGAAGACTATTCAACTGAGACAATTCGAAGGTGATATCATCTTTATGAGTATCAACTCTCCTATCTTCAGTCCACGACAAGGTAGTATCAAGGAAAAGAACCTCCATTAATTTTCCATTAAAAAAGCACCAGACAAGAAGGTAACATACAGAAAAAGAAAAAGTAGGTGGGAAGAAGGCTAGGAGCTGTGGAAAACAGCTAGATCATCTTGTCCTTTATTAATTAATTTTTTGGGAATGTTATTTTCATGAATGGTGTGAACCGTTCGATTACCCCACGTGTTTGCATCGAAGGTTCAAGCATGAAGAAAATTGAAAATACATGGATGTCTCCTTTGACATTTGATCATATGGGTAAAATATTGAAAGTAACAATAAACTTTACTTAGTCATGGTGGTATTATATTTGTATATATATATGTATAGATGTACATATTCATTCTACCACTCATCTGTCATCGATCAAGAGCAAAAACCCTAGAGGCCTGTCATTGCAGAGAAGTTTTCGAAAGAAAGATGTTCAAGTTTTCACCCTGCAGAACTTCCATGCGTCATACACCTTTGCTGCAGCCTTGGGCAAGGTAATGCTTTTTAATATCATATGGAAAATTACAACAAAATAAGACTGAGGTCACAAAAAAAAAAAGGCTGTTTTTGGATTGATTCTAACTTACTAAAGTTGATCCCAACTTTTTTTTTGGTCTTAAGCAACCATTTTTAGTTGTGATTTGACCTCAAATGAGTTATAACTAACCCTCATTTAGTTGTGAATTTCGGAAAATACCAAACTCGGTACCCTAATGTTACCCTGCTTTCAAATTAAGAGTGACTTACCCAAAAAAAAATTAAGAGTATGAAACAGTTTTTAGTGATCTTTGCAGCATAGATTCTGGCAATCTCAATTGCTTAAAAGTGCATAGTCCCTTTATGTTAACAGTTATTAAATGATTCTTTTGCAGTTTGATGGTACAGAAAGAAGGAGGTATGTGATCAGTTGCATTTTTTAAGCTATTGTTTCTCTCATTTTATCAAAGTTTTAAATCTTCCTGCAATAATCAAAATACATGCAGTACTTGGTTATTGTACAAAAGTAGCCCGGAATGTAAACATGGAGAAGTTGCGAAAAAATTATTTGTTTCCAGAGGTTAGTAGATTCTAAAGTTTCTCATGTAGGTGTTATTTTCAAGTTTTGCGTTTATCGGTTGTTCTCTTCTTTGTTTATCAATTTTATCTTTTTAAACGGTTTTTAGTTCTTCCAGCTTGTAATTGCAATTTTCATTATTGAAATGGAATTCTAGGGTTACCCATTTTTGTAGTTTGATTTTAAACCACAAGTATTTGATAGATTGGATGATTTTAGTTTCAATTTGTAAATGATGGTTTTCTTGATTAAAATGGATTAATTAGGGTTACCCATCTTGTAGTTGGATTTTGAACCATAAGTAATTCATGGATGGGATGATTTTAGTTCCCTAGTTCAAGATGACCCTTTATGTTTGATCTTGGGTGAATTCGATCCGATGATGGGAAGAGTGAAGCTCTTGAAGGCCACCCGAAACCACCTAGGCTTGGCTTGGCCAGTGGTGGCGATCAAGAAGAAATTTTGTGCTTCAAATAGTCTTCAAATCATTGCTATTTAACATAGATCTGTTCTAAACAAGTCAAGGTATTTAGAATTGTTTGTTAACACGGACAAAGTCAGGGAAAACAAATTTCATAGAGTTGAAGCACAAAACTTCATGCCTTTTTCGGGAAGTCTAGCTGTTGATCTGGTCGATCCTAAGATTTTACATGGATCACAGGTGTCTAGCATGTTTTTGAACAATTACCCAAGTTTATAGAAGCTGGTTTTATGATCTTGTACTTACCTTTGAGTACCTAAATTAACATTATTAACTTTGATTGGTACTACATAACAGATTTCTATGTGCGAGCTTGAACACATGAAGAAATATCCAAATGCAAAGGTTATAAGCCTCGGGATAGGCAATACCACGGAGCCGATACCGGACATTGTAGCTTCGAGCATGGCTGATGTAAGTTTTGTTCAATGATATATATCTCAGAAGTTAAATAATTCATTAATCCAAAAACAAATATATATAAAAAAAAGTTCAAACCCCAACTAAAAAGGCACATGAAACATTAGTCGAAGAGTTTGTTCCATTCAGACACGGTCAACTTTAAAAATAATCTCCCAAAGTCCAAGAGACGTCGAACATAAGTAACAAGAAGACTCTTCTTTGAAAAAGTCATTCTTAATTAAATAATATGCATGAATATGCTTAGCTAGAGGAGAAGCACATGCATGAATCTACTCCTTGTGCTAGTCTTGAGTTTCACAGAGAGGCTCACAGATAATCTTGAAATCTTGTGATGTTGAACTCGATTTTACGTTTTGCTATGTACAAGTAGAGAGATTTCGATAGATTTTGGAATAGTTTTAAAGAAATCAAAACCCTTTCACTATATTTTTTCTTGATAATAAATCATCTATCATCTATTGATCGAAGATCTACTTATAAGTAGTATAAAAAAACCGTGGAAAGTTTCTCAAAATGGATTGAAATATATACTTACTAATAAAAAGATTTTTTTTCCTTCCATTCCTTATTCTCCAACCACCACTTTTCAAATGACATTGGTTTTTTTTTCCTTTGCAAGGGCAGAAAAAAATCCTAAAAAGGCTATCAAATGAAGTAAACACATAATTCATGATTAACCTAATCTTAATTAAAAACATAATTCATGAGTAACCTAACCTTTAAATGAGATATATTTAAACTGAAAAACAAAGATAAAAATGGATTTTCAAGTCCTGAAAAAAAAAAGAAAAAAAGAAAATTTTGGCACATCTTTCAATCCATTAGACACACATAAACCCGAAATAACAATAAAATCCTATTATATTGTCGACGCTATGGCATTCCTATTATTCTATCTGGTAAAAGGTTGACACTAGGTCGTGCTATGTTAGATTTACTTAACCCAGACAATCCATGTATATAGTTAAATTTGTATTATGTCAGATTTTTGTTATATATGAATCACGTATAGTCCCATATAGTTAGTTTGTGTTAACGTACTTACTAAGCGGACTCGGTGAGCTAACTAAAATAAGGTTAAACTTATAGTTGATTATTCGTATGAAACTATGATTTAAATGGATGTTTAATGACATTTTCTGAATTGCAGTACGCACGTGCCCTTTCAACACCTGAAGGTTACTCAGGGTATGGAGATGAGCAAGGCAACAAGGTAACATGATGCTTATATATATGCAAGTTGTTCTTCTGTTGTCTGTCAACCATTCTATTAAGGAACTTTTCCCAAACTTAGCTTGCACTTGTCCTCAATGCATAAATAATCAACAAAGTCATTTGGTGTGTGTAAACACTTATATGTGGGTGGGTGGGTGGGTGGGGTTTTTCTTTTTTGGGGTGGGGGGTTGCATAGATCATTCTTGCATTTTGGATCATAATTGACTTGGGTTATGGTTTAGTTGAGCAGTTCTAACCCTACTCATTTAATTAATTTAGTCAAATGTCTCATACCAATCCAGTCTATTTGTTAATGGGTTCGTATGTTCGGATGAACAAGTCTAGGATAGCTTTTTTTATCAACCAAACTCACCACTCATAGAACCTATAACCTAAAAGTCCACTTAATCTCTATGATATCAAAATGAAGTAAACAAATCTTCTAACTCTAAGATGATTCTTTTCTTCGAAAAATAAAATTTTATTATAAAAAAAGCTAGATATACAATGAAGATTTCAAAACCCACCCTAATACTACACCAAGCACACACACTATTCCTAATCTAAAAAGTCTAAATTACTCTCACAACCCGAGAGACTAGGTAGCATCCTCTTACATCTGAATTGTTAAAAATAAACACTTGCATATTTAAACAAATCACAATGTAATTCAAGGCAATGAACAAAATTCCCTCATAACACAAGAAACTAAACAAATTTGGCGTGCCAAAATCGAGTTACTCGTTTTTTGTAATAATCTAAATGTCATCTCTTTTTTGGTTTTGGGTTGACTTTAGTCTACAAATTTTCTATCAGATTTGTTTCATTTTAATATATCGTGCCAAAAAATTTTAACCCTAATTCCAAGCTTGTCTTTTGAATTTGTATGAAAAACCCTTTGTTTCCATGTCGTAGGCATTAAGGAAAGCAATCGCAGAAACTTTATACAGAGGTCTACCAATAAAAGACACAGAAGTTTTCGTATCGGACGGTGCACAGTGCGACATTTCTCGACTTCAGGTATTCAAACATTCAAAGGTTGATTAATGAACAGTGGTTTCAACTTTCATATACTCCTTTTCTTTTCTTTTCTTATTCCTTGCTGCACAAGTAATGATTCATAGTTTTCTACATTTCTATATATTCGCAGATTCTTCTGGGTTCTGATGTGTCCATTGCTGTCCAGGATCCTTCCTTTCCGGTGATGTTATTACTCTTCAATTTCTTCTTTCTTCTTCTTCTTCTTTTTTTATATATCTATTTTAATTTTTTTTTATCTAATGCTTTACATGACATTATGTAGCAACCGTTATTTGCTTATTTGTACACAAGTTCTCTACTGTTATGTCAATTATCATGTCATTTAGGTTCTATTTTTTATTTTTTTTATCAGCATAACATTACTACCTTGAAGGCTTCATGTTTTAGCTCTCTCTCTCTCTCTCTCTCGATCTCTCGATTTTTGAGTTGGCCTTTGTTACTATCTCTATATCAGGGCAAGTAAATTTCCTTGAAGGGAAAGGCTAGGTTACAACTTTTTTAAGTCTAAAATATATAAGATACAATTTTAAAGGGCATGATCGATTATGAAATATTGTGATCAATATCGAGAGTTCATGTTCGATTATGGGTGTCTACGATCGATCATGTTCTTCTCTTGAGCAGTTATAATTTTTTATTTTAAAGTTATAATTTTACTATAAAAAATGGTAATCCATAATATTGGTACCGAAATTTTTTTTCCATACCATGGAGTTCCCTTCCTTGAAAGGACTGGCTGCACATGCAATTATTCAAATGCTACTATATTATGCGTCATCCTCTACCAATGTTTATCTCCCAAGGCTAAAACTGAGTTCCAAAATACCTAAGAAATAACCTAGGCAGGATAACATCGTTGATAGAGTTTTAATGATTATCACTTCGAGATCCCAAATTTGTGAGAAAGTGTATACATCCTGAGTTTTCGAGGTAACCAAGAACCCTTAAGAGGGTTGCTTGGATATGGTTGTAGGTCATTTAAGGAAAAAAAAAAACATAGACACCTAAACAGAAGGATGGTAAAATATGTAACTACCAATTGTGACATTCTTTGAAGTATTTCACCACTGCCCTTTCTTCATAAAGGCATGGCCAAATCCCTTGAAGACAGAAATTCAATTGCTGAATTATCTTCCTAGCTTCTCTAAACATGATTGAGCAAGTGATTCCAAGCCACTCGGAATAAAAGAGATGTATGTATATGTACCTCTCTCTCAACTTGTCTGGAGTAATTTCTTTCAAAAATTTCTCTATGTACGTACTTTTCTGGCCGTGTCATGAACTTTGTTGAATATCTATGCCTTGAGATTCACGTACTAATTTACATTCTGAATAAAGATAAAGAAAGAAATTTTGAATGTTCAAACTTGGGAAAATGTTGAATATCTTTAGTTTCTGTTTGAATTAATTAAGTAATGTTTTTTTTTCTGGCAAAAAGAAGAAGAAAAACTTTTGACAATCTCTCTCTCTCTCTCTCTCAAACAGGCTTACATAGATTCAAGTGTGATAATTGGGCAAGCAGGTGATTTCCAAGAAGCAGTAGAGAAGTATCAGAACATTGAGTACATGGAATGTGGGCCCCAGAACAACTTCTTTCCTGACTTGTCAAGCACTCCAAGAACAGATATAATCTTCTTCTGCTCTCCAAATAACCCAACTGGTCAAGCAGCATCAAGGCAGCAACTTGAAAATCTAGTGAAATTTGCAAGTGAGAATGGATCAATTATTGTGTATGACTCTGCCTATGCTGCTTTTATTACTGATGGAAGTCCTCGATCCATATATGAAATTCCTGGGGCTAGAAAGGTAATTTTTTTCTCATTTGTTTCATGAGATACCCAATTAAATGTTTGGGATAATAGTACATTTGGTCTCTAAAGTATAACCGTTTTGTCAATTTGGCACACATTATATTAATTTTATCAATTTATTCCCTAAAGTTTTAATTTGTGTAATTTTAGTCCCTAATTAGACAATTAGTTAAATTTTTTTATAGAAGTGACCACGTGTCATTCTTTCAGATGTTATAATGTAATCAATACGTAATCATTTCATAAAAAAAATGTAACAGTCCATCTGCGTAGAGATCATTTAAACATAAATTGAATATTTTATAAACAAAATTGACAAAATTAATATTTTAGGGACCAAAATGACAAAATATAAATACTTTAAGAATCAAAAGTGATATTAACCTTTTTTTTAATTGGAATACTACTATTGAACAACTCTTTTTCTATTCACTTTTTTCTTTTTCTTTTTCTATTTCTCTTTGGGTCCTTTTAGTTATGTTTGTTGAGATGAAGTCCTCACATCTTCTGTAGTTAATATAATCCATTTATCAGTCTTATGGCTTAATAACTTATGACTTGTATAACCGGTCCGGCTATAGCTCGGATGACAAGATTTTAGTAGTTATTAGCTCGGTGAAGTATGATCTTAGGAATATATATATATGCCCTTGAAATCGATATAAACTGAGTGTTACATTTGGCTTCATGACCTTATACTCAGTCCTAAGATCACATGCATTAATGCATAATAGTCACTATATAAATGTTACTATTCATAATTGCCTTCAAGTTGCAGTGGTAAAGTTGTTTCTCTTTGACTTGTACGCAATTAGTTTTAGTAATACAAACAAAATCTCGATAAGAGAGATTGGCAATAATGCGTGTCTTGTGCATTAGACTATTCTTTGCAATTTGCTCCGTTTTTCGGTCAAATGGCAAGGCAGGATTTCATATCAAGAACCATGGTTTATTTTACAGGTTGCCATTGAAGTTTCATCCTTCTCCAAAGTAGCTGGATTCACAGGTGTTCGTCTTGGCTGGACTATAGTTCCCGAGGAGCTCTTATTTTCAAATGGGATTCCAGTTATAAACGACTTCAATCGCATTGTGTGCACCTGCTTTAATGGTGCTTCCAGTGTGGCTCAGGTTGGTGGTCTGGCCAGTCTTTCCTCTCAAGGCTTCAAGGTTAGTATATCTGGTTCCCCACCATAGTCATTCCATCTTTGTCTCCGCCTTCAATTCAAAATAATGGGCACATCTTCCGACTCTGATAAAGTCTTGTTTGGCAAATTCTTTCAGGCTGTGCTCTCTGTGGTTGATTACTACAAGGAGAATGCAAAAATACTGGTTGACACATTCACTTCACTGGGCTTAAAGGCATATGGAGGTGTGAATGCACCTTATGTTTGGGTACATTTTCCAGGCTCAAGCTCTTGGGATGTGTTCAGTGATATACTTGAGAAGACACACATAATCACTGTTCCAGGAAGTGGGTTTGGTCCTGGTGGTGAAGAGTACATAAGGGTCACTGCTCTTGGACACAGAGACTCTATGCTAGAGGCCTCCACAAGGCTAAGAACCCTTTTCCCATAGACAAGTGGAATCAAGTATCAAAATACAGCAATTTTGCAATAATTATCAAATTACGTTATTTTTAAACTTATTTACCAAACTATGACATTTTTTAAATGCGGAATTGTTGATCTCACTTTTGTTAAAAAGCACACCCCGCTTTTTAAATAAAAGCATGATCTTTTCAACAATCATGTTTTTAAATACTTTTCAAAAACCATATTTTTGTTAAAAAAACAAAATTGTTGATCCTGTTTTTTTAAAAAATGTCGTACTTTAATAAGTATGTTTAAAAGTGTTGTAATTTAGTAATTTTGTTCCAAAATTACCGTATTCTGGTACTTAAACATAGGTTATCTTTGGACTATGAACATTGGCACATTAATACTACTTGGACAATAAGAATATACTTTCTTCTTTTCCTATGTCAACTATATTAATTAAAGAGAATTGCTTTGCAATTTTGTACTTATTGTTTGTCAAAATTTCACATCATGGAAAGGTATATATAGATTGTGAGTTTGAAATGGTCACCAATGAGAAGTTTGGATCAAATTGAATCAACTTAGAGAGAGAATTTACGCCCAACACAACTTCAAGATGAGAATCGTGTGGATGGAATTTGGCTACATCATATGCTTTGATGTTTCTATATAGTTAGATCACAGGGTTTGTATGATGATGCAGTCGAATCCTAACAACAAGATTCTCAATTCGGGCTATATTGGCTTATATGTCACCCTCTGAAGGCTTGCTAGAAAGATGAGTCAACCTGCATTTGGTAAACACAGATGCTTTATTCTGACAAAAGATGAAACAGAGAAAAAGGAGGGTGGGGGGTTGGAGAAGTAACTCATTTGCAGACAGAAGCATTACACAAAAAATTAGTGCATTAATTACTTCTTGATAAGATTAGCACTGTAAACACCTTCTCATTGCTGCCCATATGGCCAAGTTGAACACACAACAAGGAACTACACTGGAGTAAAGACATGAATTACCATGGTGCCAAGTATCCTGAATATAACTCTGTTATGTGAAGATATTTGGTAACTTGGGGGGTTTAGAATTCATCACCAAAGTAAAAGAATACTATATGAGCATACATAGAATGGGAGGTGCAGACAGAGGAAGACAATTTGCAGATAACCGAGTGCAAGAAGGGTAAAAACTAGAAAGCAAATAAGTAGAACCAGACCTCTTGTACAAACAATAAATGGAATGAAAATCTGGTGCAAAATTGATCACAAATGTTACTTGCCAAACAAAAATACATAAACAATTACTGCTGAGAAGAGTTATCAAAAAGAGTCGATGAGGTAGATGAGGAGGTGCCTAAATGATTTTGACTATCAGCCTGCATGACTGCAACATTACGATTGCCATCTTTAGTTGTCACATGAAGCCTCCCAAGTAAAACAGCAAGTAGATACGTAAAATTCTGAATCCATAAAGTTACGAATGGGGATATCTCCTTCAGTCACTTTCCAAGCATCATCTTGGTTACTATACACATTGATCTTACCCCTATTCATGAAACTAGATGGATCCAAGGCATATAGATCACCATCAACGATTACGCTCAACTTTGTTCCTGGATGCCTTTCGGGTCATCCCTCTCCCATGCCAATTGGCATTTCAACCCAAAAATTCATTTGAGGGTCAAAAACTTCTCCTCCAAGGTCAGCAAAAAATGGCCAGCAATATAAACTCTGAGGAACATACAATTTTCCCCTATATGCTGTCATTCCAGTTACGGCATGCATGGGACTTGGGACCACAAGCCAGTTTGGGGATCAAATACTTCTACAGATTGATGGGGCGTCAGTCCACCGCGACCGCTACCAACACCTCCAACAACATAAAGCTTATTGTTTAGAACACCTGTCTTACAATAAGCTCAATCTATGTTCATGGGAGGCACTTCACTCCATGCATTAAGGATAGGATCACAACTCAGACACACCTCAAGGCTGAAGCTTTGTAGAATCCACCAAGCATGTAGAGGCATCCATCAACAGCCCCAGTGGCAGAACCACAAAATGGAAGTTGATCCACTGCACCCTTCCTTCCAAGCCAACCCCTCATTACATCTGCAATCCTAATACTTGACCCCACCATATTCCATATCCGAAGGCCATATAAGCCTCTTTTAGATCCATCTTCTACAGAGACATTGAGGAATTGGTGGCAACCCTTGCCATTTCTTAGACATTGGGTCCAAAGCATACCACAAAAGCTTATCACAGTTAATCATGGTACCAATGTACCGGCACTCCTGTGTTGTTCACAGAAGCTTGACAAAGTCCTTTGTCTCTTGCAGGTTTCACCACGCAAAACCTCACGGAGTTTGCCTGTTCTGGCCCTGGGATTGTTTAAACGTAATACAGCCCTCATCAAACACCCATCAAGCCTGCCAAGTTAACACCTTTTTTCTATGATCTCATTCAAAACACCCACTACGAATCTGAGCTCAAAACAGCAAGGAAAGGGAAAGATGGAAAGTCATGAGATTCAGTCCCATTTAAGTGGCAATGGCAATGCCATTATAAGAAATTCAAAAGTATTGCTACACGTCCATTTTAGCATAAAAACATTGAAATACAAACAGTCTGCATAAACTAACAGATGATGCCCCCGTAAAGAGAAAAAGGAAAGGTGCACACCAAGTTGATGTATAAAAGAAAAGCACATTCCCATCAAACAATTGCAAAATATTACGTAAATGGTAAACTCGACACTAAAAAAATACAGCAAAGGATCAACATTCATTATACCCGTTCTATTTCCGTAGGAAAGTATAAGATCTGCCCTTGAAAAATTTTAAAATAGTTCTCTAAACCCCAATTTTGTCAATCAAACAACACGCAAGGAGCAATTCTCTTCTCTAAATCCTCCTGAATGGCTTTTAATTAATCCACATGACAGAAACCAACAAAGCATAAAAAACAACTACTAGGTTTGTTTAACTTGTAATAAATCATATTCTAAGTCACTTTTCTTTTGTTCAACTAAAAAAGCAAACTGTAATTAAAACACTAATCAAACACCTTTAAAAAATCCAAAAACTGAATAAAATAAAATAAAATGGAGGAAGCAAAGAAAAAGAGATCACAACCCAATACTTTCCTACATCTGAACTATCACTTGAAGGATAGTAAAATCAATTTGAATGATATGCTTACTAAATTGTTTACCACCATATTTTGTATACCAAATCATTTAGACTAGTGGGTTTCACTCACCCCCACAAAACATTCAATATATAAGATTTCGCCGCATCATTTGAGATACAACATTTGGTAAACTCATTACACATACATAATTTTATTGTTATTTTTGTTCTACATGTAATAACAAATTAACTAAATCGCCTAATACATCATTTTTTTAATAATATCATAATTAAACAAGCCAGTTAAAATAATTTAATACGATTACTTTTTTTATAAAACGATATTTAAACGGGTTTTTTTTTTATATTGCAGTCTTGTGTCTAAGCCTATTTTCACCCATTTTAATAAATTTTATTCCTAATCCGTTCAAAGACTATTACGGTCGAAATGAAAGGTAAATTCTGGGTGATCGGGGACTTAAGCTAATTCCCAAGGGGCTGCTTGGTTTGATTCTTGGAAACTGTTTTTTATTTTCAAATCTCAAAAAAATTTCAAAAGCTGTTTGATTTGTAATTTTATTCTCCAATTTTCGAAAAAAATAGGAAATTGGAGCATAAAACTTGTTTTCAAGTTTTTCTGCCAAAATTTTGAAAACACGGGAGACATTTTCCTCTTTAAGGTATCCCATTCGAGTTCTCTTAGACGCAAAATAAGCCCCAGTAGAAAAGCTTTTTTTCCTTCTTTTGCCTTTGTCCTCCCGGACTCTCATCACTCTCTCCGTCTCTCTCTCTCTCTCTCTCCACAGACTCGGACGGAAGTCTTCTTCGGTTACTGTGCCTTCTCCGGCGACTGCATCTTCTCAGGCAAAACACACACAGACAGACACTGGAGCTCTCCGACGATTGGTTCGAATCTGGTTCAATCGGCGCAAACACAGATCTGATTTTTTTTTTATCTGATCTGATCGAAAACACATATCAATGACAGCTTCAATCGGCGATTGGTTTAGATCTGGTTATATATATATTGTAACGATTTTTTTGGTTCAGATCTCAAGTTATATATAACCAATACAGAGCCCCTTGATTTATATATATATATACAGATCTCATGAGATCTGAACCAATATAGAGCCCTGAGATCTGAACCAATACAGATCCCCTTGATATATATATATATATATATAACTTGAGATCTGAACCAATATAAATCAAGGGGTTCTATATTGTTTCAGATATCTCATGGTTCAGATCTCGAGTTATATATATATATATATATATAAACCAAAGGGCTTTAAATCTCCTATTTTTTCGTTCATCGATATTGATTATGTTATTGGTGTCTGACATTTTTTGGTTCAAAAAGATTTATTGTTGTTCGGTTGATTGATTTTATGTATAAATTGATAATAAATCTGTTATAAATTGAAGATCGATTAATCTGTTTGATTTATTTTAAAGTTTAATTTATTATTTTAAAGTTTAATTTATAAACTGTCCATCTAAAAATAATTTTTTTTTTATTTTTTTTTGAATTATTGTCTATATATATATATATATATATATATATATTTAAACTGTCTAAATAAATTTTACTATTTTTTTGTTATGTATAATTATTTTTGAAATTATATAATCAAATAAATTTTTATCTCAAAAAAAATCAAAAATACTTTTCTAAAATTTTTTCCAAAAGCTATTTTCTGAAACAATTTTTTTTTTTGAGACTCAAGCCCAATTTATTTTCTTTTCGTTGACTCAAACTAAGTTGGCAAATTTTAAATTCAGAAAAATGTGGGTCCTCCCTTGATTTCAAACGGGCCCTTTAAATATTTATCAAACGGTACACATAAGTCATAGCACGAGAGACAGAGAGAGAGAATCTGAAGCGCTGAAGAAAAAAGTTTGATTCATCGATTCTGAAGCTTCAATGCCTCGCAAGAGTCGTCGGCGCTCGAAGAAACATTGCACTCTCTTGAAACGCCTAGGTACTGATCACATTACACGGACATTCAAGCTCTTTGAAACGATTTTTTATATGCATTTTTTGTGTATATATGTTATCTTACTTTTGTTTTTGTCATATTAGTGAAAATTAAGGCGAAAAAGAAAGCTAAATTAGAGGAAGAAGAAGGGGTTACTCCACTTGTTGACAGGTATTGGTTGCAAAGGTATGATCTTTTCTCGAGATACGATAAGGGTATCAAATTGGACGAAGAAGGGTGGTTTTCCGTTACACCGGAAGAGATTGCGGTCCGGCACGCCGAGCGGAGTGGTGGCGGTGTAGTCATTGATTGCTTTGCCGGCGTCGGTGGTAATGCCATACAATTTGCCTCGGTGTAAGTGTTTGATAAATTTTAGAGATTGTGTGATTTAATTTCCATTTCAAGGATTTGGGTAATGTGTTATCTTTAGGTTGGACGCTTGTATCTTTACTTGGTGAGTTTTATATCTTACACTAGTTCACAGTTCTTGCCAATGTCCAAATCTGCTGTGAACCCATGGGAGAACTCCCCCTTAAAAACCGTAAGGTACCCTTCCTTTGGAAAAAATATTGAGTGTATCGGTGACACCACGTCATCATTGACCCGTGGTGTCACCATCCAATAAAAGTGACAGGCCCAAACGTGTGGCAGGCTCTAATACCAATTGCTGGCTTCATGTAGACAATTTACCCTTGAACACTTGCTAGCGAGGAAAGAGTGCCTAAGTGTTTATTACATATACTTCTCTGTCCATACTTAACCAATGTGGGAATGGCCCAAAATCATGGGTGATGCTTATTTTGGTTTAGGGGATAGAGGTTTAACATAGTCTTGTTTTTTATAATGAATAAACATGAATTTTATTGCAATGCAAGGAAGTAAAGGTAATAGTGAAACGGAAAAAATGAATTTTATTGCAGTGAAGAGAAGCCAAAGTGTGCATATGTTGGATATACACATGTCATAGACGACCTTTTCTGCCATTTCCTTCTGTTGGTTAGCTGCATACTGCAAATTTCAGCCATATTTAATGTTGTGATTGCTTCTGATTTTGCTTCCGTGTTGATTCCTGGTAGAAATATAAGTGCTGAATCATAGGTTGTACCATGTATGTCACAGCCTAAAATTTCATAATAAGGCCCTTTTTTCTGGCCAATCCATTAACAACTTAGTTCAAATACTTCCTTTTTTTTGTCTGTGTATGTGTTTAGGGAGGGGGCTCTATTTGAAATCTATTTCAACATGTTATGTGGAGTGTGTTCTTTCTGATTTAGCTGCTTAAATCTCTGTAGATCAGACATTTATCAGTCTTATTTTAGCCTCATGGTGTGCAGTGTTTGAAGCCCGAACGATGAACCATAGATCTTTGAAGGTCATTCTGCACTGTAACCTTGCTTTGTGTTGGGCCTTCATGCTGTGAAGTGAATCTTTGCTCGGAGATATTCTCTGGGTTTAGATTCAAATAATGCATTACAGAAATACATGAACCTACTTGACTGCCCTTTACACTAAATAGGTGAAATAAGTGCCGTATATGTGTCCTGATTGTATGTGTAAATTTATCCTTGTGAGTTCACTTTTTCTTTCTTTTTTCCTTTCACTTGCATAAAATTCTGTTGTGGGTTGCACTAAGTCTGTTGCGTTGCATTTTTAATGGAAAAATTCAAAGAAAATTATCCATTCCCGATGACACAAACATTGTTCGCACATGTAAAGCACACACATATTTCTACGTAGATATCTGTATGCATGCATGTAATACATGAGTAGATATTCGTTTTGGTATTCAGATTTAAATTCTGTTCAACATTTTGTTTTGTTTCTATTTGTTGAGTATTAATATTTCTTGAAAATGCGGTTGTCTAAATTCTTTTTTTTTCTCATTCCTAGATCTCAACACGTTGTTGCTATTGACATTGATCCACATAAAGTTGCAATGGCTTCTAATAATGCAAAAATATATGGCGTGGAAGATTATATAGACTTTGTTGTGGGAGACTTCTTCCAACTTGCACCATATCTGAAGGTAATGTTATTCCTTTTCTTCAGTTGTGTCCAATTTTCAGAATAATACCAATATGAAGTCTGCTTCGGTGCTTCCAAATTGTCACTTGATTGAGTTAATCAGAAGATAATGGTATGCAGGGTAGTTTATAACTGGCAGTCTGATGCACAGAGTTGCTCGGTCATTTAGATTGCTTTACTTCATTTCCATAAAGTGCTTAACTTGGTTGCCAATATTTTGAAAAGTTGATGTCAGGATTGGCCATGGGTTTTGGCCTTTCTGGCAACCTTAGTGACATCAAGTTTTTATAGATTGCATTGAGTCATTGACTACACTTTAGACAACTTGAAAATAATATATTGCTTCCTCGACAATTGAATTTCCACATTCTTACTCTACTTTCAGTAGTATGCCAAGTACTCATCAGGGCATTTGGTCTATATTTTAGGAGTTGTTAATTGGAAGAGAATTGAAACACTTGAATCTTCCCAGTTGAATCAAGTTTGCATTTTGAAGAGTGCAAATAAGTTTGAAGTTTGATGCCCATTTCTGGAATATTTGGCTAACCATATCACAAGCTGTGGATGACTTGCTAGTGCACGTTGGCCTCTTGTCTGATAAACAAAATGGGGAAAATCTCTGAGTAACCTGACAAAACCAGAAGGTGAAATTTGCCTACTTTATTGAGAGGCTTTTATTTATTAATGCGTTGAGGCCAAGGACTTTAGACGACGCTAGAGACTTCTACCTGTGTGTGATTTAACACTATTTCTCTGAATCAAATGTTGAGCTTGGAATTTTAGTTTTTAACTTGCCGGTGTTTACAAGTGCAAATTTCCCCCCTTAAAACTGAAATCTTATCTGAGACAGGTTGCTTTCCACCAGGAAATTACAGCCTCTGAAGGATTCCTAGAACTTCGTTAAACTAAAATTTTTGAAGACAATAATGTGTAACTGACTGCAGGTGCCAGTGGAAAACAAGGCTGATGTTTCTCTCGGATTTCCTATTGAAATTATCTATGTTCTCTGATTTGCTTGCTTATATTTTGATTACTGTTATTCTTTCCTTCTAAATCTGTAATGGTGTACATTTTGTTAGGGTAATGTAGTATTCCTTTCACCACCATGGGGGGGTCCATCATATAGTTCAGTTGGGAATTTTACCCTTGACCTACTGAAGCCAAAGGATGGGTATGTGCTGCTGATCATGCTTATTACTTTATGAACTGCATTTAATAAGAAACAGCTGTGATATGATCTGAATCTCTTGTGGTCTTCAGCTTCTTCTACTACGTAGTGTATCATTCGATATCGTTCCGTGATGCCCCGACCAATACATCTCAGTGGCCTCTGAGTTAATGACTTATACTGTGATTTTGAACCATGGTAAATACAAGGGATCTTCCTTCCTAAGCTAGCATGCCCGGGTATACTTTAAGCCAATTGTTTTTATATTTGGGCAGACTTACAAGTGATCAGCCTGGCAAAATAGGGTTGCCTGCAAAGATTAACTTAGGTAAAGTGTATCAGTACATCAGGCTATTCAACTTCCTAGGAAGGTCTTGGCATTGTCAATCACAATTATGATTCCGACTTGCCAACCATTATGCTTAAACTCACTGAAAACTTCTCTTAGACATAACCAATTATGCCATGGAGAATTAGTGTCCTGAATCTTGACCAAAAGGAAACTCTGGGTATAAGAGATGTTTCAAAAAATTAGTTGTTCAAATAAGCACTAAATGCTGTTTTTTTTAACTTCTCTTTCTTGGAAATCTCTAGTGAATTTCAATGCAAGAAGGATTTTTGTTCTACTATGCATTTTCTGCCATCTTTGTGTACTGAATGAATTTTGCAGTGTTACAGTGTTTTTTCTTCAAAAACTTTGAATGCTACTGGATTATACGGCACCTGCAAATAGACTTGCCAATCCTGGAGTGGTGTTCTATATTCAGAAATAAATTTGCATCATCTCTGCAGGTATTCAATGTTTCAAATTGCTCAATCAATAACCCCCAACATCATTATGTTCTTACCTAAAAATGTAGACCAACGTGAAGTGGAAGAACTTTCTTGGCTGTCTTCTCCTCCTCTACATGTTGAGGTATTTTTTCTACTGGTTGATACATTAGCATGAAATGCTGAATACATGCCATCATTCTTGAAGTCCTTTACATGCTAAAGCTGGTTAGACGCATGCAGATTGAAGAAAATTACGTGCAGAGCAGTTTAAAGGGTATGACTGCCTATTTTGGTGATGCTCCTTTCAGGTAACTTGGTTGTCTTAACTTTCTGTCGAGTAGTTATCCTCCATGTCTTCATCACAGCTACCACTTTAGAAGATTACAGTAGAAACTTTAATAGTGGGAGAGGCTCGAACTTCCTCTTTTTTTTATTGCTAAAACGAAATTTTGTTCCCATGTGTCAGAATTTCTTCTACTAAATATACAGTGGTTAGAGCAATGTTTAAGTCATTTGTCTGTGGATGCAGTTGGTTTTTGTGAGAGTTTCTCTTCATTGCCAAGTTTGTGCAGGTAAAGTTAAGAAACATTTATCTAAGATGGAAGCTACTTTCAAATGGAAAGTGGAAACAATTGCATTGTTTACACGTATTGATAACATCTCTATTACACTTTTACTCAATACTAGATCATTTATCATGAATACACATGAGACCCACCATTTACAAGTGAGCTACTCATTCATACATGGTTGATGATCTACTATTAAGTAAAATTAAAAAAAGTGTAATCGAGAGGATATCAATCCTTGTTTACATATATGAGACCACTTTAATTGTGAAGAAATACCTTGTATACCAAATTGGGATCTCAAATGAGTAGACTCCTACATGAATGAATCCCGTTAAAAAAAGTTAACAAAATCCACTAATCCAAGGGTCCCGTTGATTTGGGATACCATTTGAGGTTCCTTTCATTTCTCTTAATTGTGCACTACGGGGCAAAATGGGTTTGTTTGAGAGGCTAAAATTCTCATCAATTACATTTTCACACCCTCATTCTTGACTTTGATCTCAAGTTAACCTTGAACTATTAAATTGTTGCATTATCCAATCAATTGCTTGAGTTGGTTTTACGTTCTAGAGCAACAAATATCCACTTGTAGGGAAAAAGTGAAACGAACTCATTTAGTACGGAAGGGAAAGTAAGATAAAAGGCTAGCTGGTGCAGTAAAGCTTGGTTCATTATCCGGTGATAGGAATGAAAGACTATGTTAAAAAAACAGAGGAAGATAGAAAGTATTTCAAACTGTTGCTCTTTGAATTGCTTCTTGTGTTATTGGAACTACTGGATTAATGACAATTCATTATTGGGGGGTTATGACTAGAAAGAAAGGTCTATTCGATCTGTTGCTTGTTTTAACGTGGATTAGTTATATTTGTTGTGAAAGGCAGTTAGCCATCATAGGTATAACTACCTAGTACGTACGTACATAAGTAGCCACCTTGTCAAATTTATCATAGACATTAATTGTGGGAACGTGAAAAAAAGAAATAAACATAGTTGCAATGCAAAAAATAGGCTAGTTTTAAGGGGCAATGTGAGATGGAGACTATAATTGAGGGTATTAAAGTATAATTTTTTTCAATTATTTTCACTCCGTGCTTGTCTCTTGAGCTGCCTTCGAATGCTTATGGATAAAAACTAGCCTTTTGGAAGCTTTGGTCTAAATAGTTTTTTTCTCGTTACCCTATCAACTGACTGCACAAGGCATGTAATTTCAGACGTCAAAATTTTTTCTTATTTTATATTCAAAGCAAGGACATGTTTATTATACCAAAAATTATAATTTTTTAAAGTAAAGTTGTAATTTTTTTTAAGGTGTATGTTACAACTTTAAAGAATATGTTTGATCATTGAAAGTTATGATTAATACAGAAATTTTCATGGATTATGGGTGTCACATCATAGCCTTTCTTTGAGCTGTTATAATTTTTTTTTAAAATTATAATTTTACCTATAAAAAATAAGCTGGTATAAAAAAAAATTTAGTACCGTAAAATTTTCCTATTGTTTCGGGGGTGATATCATTCAGTATAGACCTGGAGAATGGGGATGACAGTGGACCGGAGAAAAATAGGTATTTGTCCAAACTTGCTCTATTTGGATCGGGGATGGATTATACGTATTGGACGGTGGATATATATTTGAATACTCGTATAAATCCGCACGAGGATGAAGGTGGGGATGGATTTACCTTTACCCTCGCCCAGCCCCTGTTACCCATTATATATATATATATATATATATATATACACTCTTGAAGCCCTAATTTATTCTGCCCTTCTTCACCTAGCCTTCAGTCGCCCACTTCTTTGGCTCTTCCTCTATCTCTGTCTCTTTCACACACAACGCCTGTTTCTGTCCACCGCCTTTGCCCAGCTAAACACCACTGGCAACGCTCCTCCTCACCAGCGACCACCACTTGTTAGTCGAACGAGCCTGAGCCAAGTTCGAGCCGAGTTTGAAAAGTTTGTTTTTTAATTGAGCCTTAAACAAGTCGAGTCCAAGTTGAGTTCGAGTATTTGCACATAAATGAGTTGAGTTTGTTGGATTTATTTTCTAAATGAGCCTAAAAATTTGTTCAAGTTCAGGCTCGTTAGAAAACGAACCAAGTCTGAACGAGCCGAACCCGAGTCGAACTCAAGCCAATCTCGAGTAGCCCAATTTGATTAACAGCCCTTGCCAGGGACCCTGAGGTATCTCTTTTCCTTCCTTCTTGTTGTACGCTCCCTCCTTTTTTCTCTGAGAGTAATTTGTTTTTTTGTGAGAGTAATTTGTACATATAAAAAGGTGGTATGTGTAGAAGTGTCAATCGTGTCGGGTTAAACAGGTGATGAGTGAAAAACGTATAAACTCATACACGACACGTTTAATAAATAGGTAAAAAATCTTCAAACGAATACAACTCATTTAATAAACGAGTAACACAACACCACTTATTTAACCCGCTTAATTTTAAAAAAATTATATCAACAAATTTTAATATTCTATTTTTTTTTATTACTAATTGCACTTACCTCAAAAAAGAGAAATTTTAAATCAAATCTCATAAAAATAAGACTTGAAGGCTTTAAAAAAAAAATAAAAGACTATTGTCTTTTATAGGCAACTCACCCTCCCCATCTCCTCTCATTTTTCAATGTGGGACAAAAACAAAAGACATTGGTTTGTCTTTGTCTTTGAAGTGTTTTACAACTCCTCTCCTTTGTCTTTGAAAAATAAAACTTGAAGGCTTTAAAAAAATAAAAGCAATAGCTCATTGTCTTTTATAAGCAACTTAACCCTCCTCATCTCCTCTCATTTTTCAATGTAGGATAAAAATAAAAGACATTTGTTTGCTTTTATGTTTGAAGTGTTTTTCAACTCTTTTCTTTCGTTTTTGAACTACTACTTTACTTCTTTTTTTATTGATTTCTTTACTTCTTTTATCTTGTTAATTTTTTAAAATAACTATTAATTTATTATTATATTAATTTTATTTAAACGGGTAAACGTGTGATAAACGGTTTGACAAGTCTCACCCGAACACGACCCGTTTATTAAATGTGTTTGGCGTGTCAACCCGTTTATCACCTAAATTCGTTAAGATCTCATCCAAATCCGTTTAATTCGTGTCGATTCGTGTTGGTTAATCGTGTCGTATCGAATTTTGACGGTACTAAATATCTATATATGCTTGATGGGAAAGGATAGAGAAACAAAAGGGAAAAGAAATTTGGGAGTGAACTCGGATTTTTGATGCTTTGGTTCAATGCTGTTAGATGATTAATGCTGATCTCGACAAATTCATCTAGTTAGGGGAAGATTTGTGCATTTTAGTAATTATTGTCATTTTTGGGGTAGAACAAACCAATCTGGCAACTGGGCTTGGATTCAGGCTTTGATCTCAAAACAGTAAGAAACTTGGAAGATCTACGTACCGGCACGATCAAGGTTTATCATTCCCCCGCCCTCTCTCTCTCTCTCTCTCTCTCTTTATATATATGTATATATTCATCTATACCCATGAAACTGTCCTTGTTATTGAATTCTTTTCAATTTTGAGGTTTTGATTTTATGATAGTTTGAGGTTTTGATATATTTATATATATAATAAAATAAAACGAAATTTGAATCTAATAGATAAAGAGAGGTCAAGATCGTTTTAAAACAAAACATAAACACATCCAATGGACAACGTAATTCCAACATAAAAGACGATTCAGATCATCTCAAAAATTTTGATCTAATGGTTTACAGTTAGTCCTGAATTTCTTTTCCCGTCCATGAAGAAATCTCTTATCGTAAAACTCTACACTCCTATTTTTCATACATCTCTATTTTAAATTTGAAAAAGTACAATAACAATTTAGATTGAATTCATTTTAAATTAAATGATCTAATTGTTAAAAGTGTATTGTTTGTATCTTGATTTAGGTTGATTTTGTTTAATTTCTAATTTTACAAGAAAATTTTGCATAAAATTAAAAATATTTCTATTAAACACACATAAAATATATAATATCTATAAGTTTAATATTTTTTTTTCAAAATTTGACAGTTTAACATTTGATCCTAATAATTACATACATATCATCACTACAACACAAAAATAAGTACCCAAATGGACAATATCACTATTTTTGAACATGTAAGTTATTTAGTATATCGATTTTTTCAAAACCTTTGGTATAATATTTCATTAAAAACCATTATATACTTACTATATAATTTTTCATCATTTTTATTACAAACTGATTCATACCTTGAATACAGTATAAGTAGATTTTCTTATCACGCATCTTAGTACCGATGGTTGATATTTACTTCTTACTTCTTATCAATTAATTAAGTTTAAATTGACTTTATAATTTATAAATAAAATCATCAAGTTATTATTTATACCAAAAATAAATCACTACTATATGAAAATCAATAGTTCTCAGAAAATTAAAAAAAAATTCAAAACTCAAATTAATCAGCAATTAACAAAAAAAAAAAAATAAGTGACCAATACAAAAAAAATAAGATATCAATTGAACCTACAAAAAATGTTCAAAACCAATATAATTGCTATATGTTGAAATCTATATAATAAAACAGGAGTGTATTTGAATTTTATCTCAGTCATATTTTCTCTCTCAAAACTACCACCAATCACTTATCTTACCCATCATCCTTTTGTCAGACTCAAACGTCAAATCACATCACTTATTTCTATCATATGTTTAATCATTTATATATTTATTCCCTAAAAATATTACATTACTCATTTCTATCACATATTTAATAATTTAATATTTGATTAATTTATAGTTAATATATTTTTAAAAAAATTGATATAATGAGATCAATTTTTTGGACGCTCAAATTTTATATTTTATCGTACCTTCAGGCACGGGTTGTGACTAGTTATTTATATATCCTATCTTTATGTGTTGAAATTTTATAAGTAACATAGTGTTTTCAGGCACGGGCAAATGATTAGTATATATATATAAACTCATAAAACTGTCATCAAGTATATATTCATATATATATACTCGAAGATAGTTTCATGAGTTATATATATATATATATAAATAAAGTAGAACGGAGTTTGAATCCAAAAGACAAAGAGAAATTCAGATCGTTTTGAGACAAAATATAAACAAATCCAACGAACAACGTAATCCCAACATAAAAGACGATTCAGATAGATTCAGTATTATTGATCCGACGATCCTAATTAATGTATATTCTAACAATACTCAACTACATTCTTTTTATCTCTCCTCATCTCCATTCAAAACATTGGAGAGATTGACTAAGACTCTACTAAATTCATTTTATCTCTCATCATCCTCATTTAAACTATTGGAGAGTTTGACTTAGACAGTTGTATATCTATATATATCTATCTACACTAACAATATAGAGGCAATTTTAAATTTTTAAAATTAAATTTAATACTCTAAATTTAAAAGAAACAGAGAGAAGAACAATTAAGATTTAATTGAAATTTAAATATACGATTTAGATATTATCAAAATTCATCCTATCCAAATATTATATATGTATAAAAAATTGACTAATTATCACCAATGTAAAATGTGAAGCTAATTGTCATTTTTATAATTAAAAAATATCAATTATTCACTAACAATCTATTAAATTTATTCAATAAACGATGTTTTAAACATTGTCACTAAAATATTAGTATAATAAAACTATTAAACTAAAATCTAAGAGACATAGTAAAAAATTAAAAATCAATTGGCAAATAATAAAGACTATAATCAATACTCGAATAAAAATAAAAAATAATTTTTCATAGAAAAAATAAAATCAAATGAAGATTAATTTAAAGCACTTTAACTTGCAAAAATTCATAATAAAATGAAAGTCATTAGAAGAAAGTCATATTATAATAAAAAAGACTAAATAATTATATATATGTGTGTATAACTTTTAGATATATATATATATATCATATTTAAAAAAAAAATTGAGGATGGGCCTGTGTCCACCCTCGCCCCTATGTAGCTCTGTCCAAATATGTCATCCTATATCTATCTATCTATCTATATCTATATGATCCTAATTAGATTTTTATTTCTTTTACATATGTTTCTCTTACTCACACTCTCATCTCTCATAACTTTATCTTCTGAGAGTTTGGCTTTGACAACTATATATATATATCTAATAATAACATAATACATCTAATACCCATTAATACTCAAATCTCTCTCTATATCATATTCTCACCTATCATAAATTTATCACATCTCTCATATAACTCTCTCTCTATACACCCGTCAACACACACATGTCAATATCAACTCCTACAAAAAAAAAAGATATTTTTTAGATATAATGATTAAATATATAAATTGTATACATGTGATATTTTTTAGGAGTCATGTTTTTAAAGAAGTTTTGTCAAAAAAAAATTTAAAATAATATTTTTAAATTAATTTTGATTTGTGTAACTAAAGAAAATAATAAAAAAATAAAGTATTTTTGAAATATTTATATTGCATAACCGGTGATCAAAGTTTTTTGACTTGCTTAGTACTTTCAGGCACAGGTTATTATTAGTATATATATATAAACCCATAAAACTGTCCTCAAGTATATATATATATTTTCATGAAACTATATATATATAAGAAAATATACGGGATGGGACTGAACCATTGGACGGGTACGAGGGAAGTGAGAACGGGGACGGAAATTAAAAATTTATCCACGGACGGGGATAGGGTTGAAAATAATACCCGTTAACAGGGGTATACCAGGGATGAAAGGAGTTTTTTTAAGCGGGTATGAGAATGGAGACTATATCCCCACCCTCACTTCAGTCCATTGATATTCTTACCGGAGAGCAAGAGGGTGATTGTGATGGGACACGTGTCACCAGAGGGAGCCTGGAGAGCATATCAAGGGTGAAAAGGGCAGAGTCTTGGCCTTGTTGAATGACATATAATTGGTTCGGGAGAATCACATTTTCTACCTTGAAAGATTTAAGAAATTTTATTTTGCATATTCAAAGATTAATTTTTTTATATTTCACTCTTAATGTATTCAAAGTGTGAAATGTGACATTTTCGCTATCTGTAATTGTTTATTCCAATAAAAATCATCATATTGACGTCTTGACATAATGAACATTGGAAGCAAACTGAAAAGGGTGGAATTTTGAGCATGGGCCGCCACAACTTCAGGCCAAAGAATCCCATAGCCCAAGAAGAATGTCCTAGATTAGCCCAGTAGAACAGAGTAAAACCCAATGGGGATTAGAAAGACAATGGCCCAACCCAGACCCAGTCAAGCCCCAGCCTAATAATGGCCCAAGGAAGAAACGGACCGTTCATCCCTAAACAATCCCACCATGCCATGCGTCCGAGGGACAAAGGGACCATCTCTAAAACGTGCAGCAGCTGCGTATTCCCGGACACAGAGGGTGGTGGAGCTTAAGGTCCCAGAGATCGTGGACACTAGGAGAACGGCGGAGAAAGGCTTTTGCTGGACAAGGACAGGAGGTCCTCACAGGATCAACGAAAAGGTAGAAGATATCACAAGGAATCCTTAGAAATGACTCATATATAAATAACAGTGTCTTACCAGAAAAAGAGAAACTTCTCCCAACCAAAAAGAAACTCTGTGAACAACCCCCACTCCCGGAAAACGGCTCAAAGCTTGTAACTCGACTATATTCAACAGAAACTCAATGCACAACAAGGAGTAAGAGAGTCAATTATAATTGACGTAACCTTGATCTATCGACTAAAGCGAACCACTTATTTCTTTTTGTCCTCACTTTTAGCAAACACCTCATTCCCCAAATTAACCAAAAACGTTTAAGGGAATAACATTCCACACTTTAGGCTTGGGCCGCGATTTCCGAGACCCCATCACTAACAAAAAAATTACATTACAATGATTTTAATACATCAAGGATGTAATATTAAAATTTTAATATTTAAAATGAAGTGAAAATACTTAATTTTTCGGCGTATAAAATATAATTTGCCCTATTAGCTTGGACACAACTTAAAATGGTAAGACAGTTCACAAGTTGCCAAAGAGAACCTTAATCCTAGCATAGCTCAAATAATAATAAAAATGAGATATAAACTCAACGTCCTAAGTTTAATTCTTAACTACTTTTTAGAATTAAATTATAAAAAATTTATTTCTCATTAATATCTTAGTCCCGACGTAAATAATATGTCTTTAACAAACTAAAGAGAGAATTAGTCGTCCTGGACGTAAATTAGTCCCGACACTTTGACCGTGAAAAAAAACAAAACAAACAAACAAACAACAGCAGCAACCCTAAAAACATTTTTCGCTGCATTTGCTTTATGTTCAGAAAAAAAGACCAATCAATTTCCTGGTCACAAAATTAAAACAGCAAAGGGATCGAGGAAATGTGATCGTGTGGGTAGGGGAGGGAGCAGTGTTGATAGTGATTGCTTGGGTAACAAATGTTTAATTCGGGTATAACAATGGATAAAAAGTAACTGAAAATTTAATTTCAATACAATCCATATTACTGTTGTGCAATTTTTTCTTATCCCATCGCCATCATGTTTGGATTAAGTTTTGATAAAAGTACGAGCATATTATTATTTTTTGCATTGAAAAAAAGTTCCGACTTGATTCATCTAAAAAACAAGCCGAATTCAAATTGAGCTCAAATATAGCTCGACCAGATTATCAAATCCTACTTAAAGCCCCTAGCAATATTTAGAAATTCTGTTGACAGAGGCCAATACATTGATCAAAAGAAAGCCAAGAGACAAAACCCAAATAAGACTACAAGAAAGAGACTGATATAAAACTGAAATGGCAATCAATATAGCAGAATCAAGATGCATAACAGGTTCAATGAAAATATATCTAATACCCAAGCTCCCACATCAAAAAAGACCTAGTAATATGTATTATGTAATAACCTAGTAATATGTAATAACAGTACCGCAAATATGAAATTTAAGAAAACAAACGTCACAACGGTCACCCATTTGCTCTTTCCCTCATCTCTAAAAAGGCGTACTAACAAATGATCTCAGAACAAAGAGAGAGATGCAACAACTAGAGTAAGAATAGCAGAAATGGCAACCACAGAACCACCTGAGCTTGCGGGGGCCGGAGCTGGAGCAAACTCGTTAGCTCCCACAACAGTAGGAGCAGCAGCAGTGGATCCTGGAGACACAGTCACCGGCGCAAGAGCTGCAGCATACAATTAGCAATTAGTGTTTCAACCGGTACACTTAACAACAATTGAAGCCACAAATTAAACCACCTTATATTTCATAAAGTAATCACAATCACATTTTTCTTCCTATATATGAGTTTGGAACCATTTAATTAAGGACAATTTTCAAGTCTCGTCCAAGTTACAACAAGAGAGGATTCCCGTATCTAGGCCTACCAAAGGCCTCGTTCTGTAATCAAGAAACACAAAAAATTAGCTTTCCCTGACACGAGAGTGGGTGAAGGGGGGCTAAATTCATTAACTTAAGTTGAATGGGCAAGGAACCTGCTTAATTAAAGCTAAGAACCGATATGAGGCACATTGATTATCAAATATGTGAACAATGGTTCATTCCTTGGCAGAAAGACAAATTGGCTAAAGTTGAAGGGTTATGGGGTGTTTGGTCGGGGATGAAAAGATGAAAGTAGAAATGATACATTCCATTTTTTGTGCTTGGTAAGAGGGAAAAAAAAGAAGGAAGGATTAATTTGTGTTTGATTTGAATGAGAAATTGAAAGAAAAGAAAAAATATAGATACATATTTTACCATTGTATCTATATAGAAAATTAGAGTGTACATAATATATAATAGATAAATAGTATATGTGCCTATATTAAGGGGTGTAAAAGAAAATAACATATATTTCAACACACATCATTAAATGTTCATCTCCCTTTTCTCCCAATTTTAGAGGGATAGATTTTGATAAGTTTAAAGAAAGGCTAATATTTCTCCTTTTTCAGCTTTCTCATTTTTCTTCCTCGCCAAACATGATATCTTCTATATCCTACTAACTTTTCATCCTTTCAATTTTTTATGCTTCCACTTTTCCATTATACCAAACAAAACATTAGCACCTACATTAGGCAAATTGATTACCATATATCTAAATAGATCTTCATTCGATGGTCGGATAATTTGGATCTGTAAGACCGACAATGAAACAAAAAAAAAAAAATTACTAAGTCGGCAGTCGCCACAATATCTTGATTCTATATTCTATCTTCTTTTATCCATGTAGGATTATCCAAAAATCAAACACTTGGCCCCAAGTCCTGCATGCTATAGTGCTTGCTATAAATGAAATGACCCATTTCACCATAAACACTTGGGAAGAACAGCAATAGAGAGCCACGTGAATGTGTCCAGAGCATATGGTTGATTATTGATTAACCAATGTGATACTTTATACATAAATGGCAAAACAAATAATTAGACCAAAAGATGAGGGGCAAGTTGGAGAAGAATCGAAAAGACATCCTAGAGGCTTTCTCCAACAATATAAAAATTGGCTTTAAACACAAATATGAAACAAAAACAATTTTTAATAGCATAAAATAATTTAGTTTCTATCAATCACATTACTAAGATCCTCTCGAATACTTTTTTTTCTCCAAAGAGTAATCCTATTTTGACCTAAAAATCTAGCCGAATTTACTGACATAATGATTTGGTTTCATTGAAACCATTGGATCAACACTAAGTTCTAACGTTTGATGGAGTCCACAATTAATTTAAGGGTCATAGTGAATTAGGTCAACATATTAGTCAGTAAATTAGATCCTAATACCATTGCTCTTCTCCAAAGTATATATAAATGGCACACTCACTTAATGCATGGTGCATAATAATAACAACATTCTCCTTTGTTAGATCAGGATTTAAAAGAAACAAGGTAATGAAGAATCAAAAGATCAAATCCAAATCCAAATCCACAGGCATAAACATATTTAAAAATTTATGACTAACACTAAATCAAAGCAGAAAGCAAATATAAACAGAGTATGAAACAGGTCAAATATAAGTTCATTTACATACCAGGAGCTGCACCAGGAACAACACTCACTGTCCAAAGAAAAAAACAAGGAAAAAAAAATCTTGTAAATTTTCAGACTCAAAAAACAATGCATATGGGTATAATATAACACGAACTTTTCCAGGAAAGTACTTTTCCCGAGAAACAAACAGAGTAGAGCATGCCAAGAATGCAATTAAACAGAGAAAAGCGAACTAAAGTTCCTATAATCAAACATTGCGATAATGTAAGCAAGTAAACAGGGCCAAAAACGAAGTGAAAACCAGGGAAACGGAGGAAAGGTGGCCAGATAAAATCCTAGGGAGAATGGGAGAAAATTTTACAGAGAAATTGTTAGACAAGAAAATAAAGCTTCAATGAGAAATAAGAGTAATCCTAGAGAGCAAATTGCCTTGGAAAGCAAACAAAAAAAATGCGAGAAAAACCTAAAAGACAAAATAATACAAAAGTAGGAGCCAAATATAAAAGCCTGATGAGAAGGAAATCGTTTCTGCGAATAAAATTTTCTCCTGAAACAAACAGAGAAACTGGGTAAGAAAAACCTTATCAACCGGAGCCAAGAAAAAAAAAAGCTTAAAGAAAGAAAGGGTTTCTGAGAAGAACATTTTCTCGAGAAACATGCAGTATGGAAACAAAAGAACAAGGGAGATAAAAGCCTAAAAAGACGGAAAACTATTCTGAGAAAGAAAAAAAAACACATTTTCTCCAGAAACAGAGAGAACTGGGCAAGGAAGACCTCCAATGGAGATAAAACAGAGCAGTCCCAGTAAGATCATTTTCTCGGGACATAAACAGGAGAATAAAGAAATCAGGAACCCCCACCAAAAAAAAAAAAGGAATTGCAAAAGGGTCTCACATCCACAATAGCTAACAGAAGCAGTGTAGAAACAAAAAGAGAGAGAACTGGGTAATGAAAGCCTTAAAAGGAAGATAAGCAGTCGCAATGAGAAAATTTTCTCGGGAAACAAAAAGGAGCAAAATGTATAAAGATATCCCAGAGGAGAAGGACAAGTATTAGACGAAGTCACTCACATCCACAGTTGCTAACAGAAGGAGCAGAGACATGACAAGCAGAGGGTAGACTGAAAGCCTTGGTGACATTCAAAGTGACGCCCAACTGAGCACTGTTTCTGAAAGCCTCACAGAGACACTCTGCGTCGGTTTTCAGCACCGTCTTCAACCCAGAACAACAAGTTCCCTCAGGCTTATTCACGGTACTACCGCTGGTAACGAAGGAGAGACAGTCCGCCATGTTCAACACCAGGTTCGAGCAGTCCACGGCTGGTGCTGGTGCCGCATGGTGTGCAGAGTGAACGCTGGCGAAAGACCATATGGCAAGAACGGAGAAGAGGGTAGCCATTGTTGTTTTTCTTCGCCATTTTCTTTTGCGTGTGAGAGAGAGAAACAGATGGAGGTTGGGTGGAGATTTGGGATTGATAGAGAGGGGTTAAAATGGTGTGAGAGAGTTGGGAAGAGAAAGGGGTTCTTGGGAGTGGGGATGCGGGGTGCGTCCTGGTGAGAGGCGGTTTTTGAAGGAAGAGTACTTGAGCCATGTGGTTGTAGGTGTTGTGGTTTGATGTGAACAAGGGAGACACGTGGTGGTTTTTCCGAGCTGGAAGAGTTTTTTGAAATTCGAAAACCAATAATATTATTTAGACTTATCGAGTAATGATATTGAGAATTTTAGAGTCACTCTTCTCCTGATTTTTATATTTTTAAGGACATTTTTTATATTATTAAAAATATTATTATATTCTTTTTAATTTATATTTAAATATCACTAACACTCTCTATCATTAAATCACTATTTTTAACCAAAAAAAAGATTCTTTTGAAATACAAAAAATGCCTCGACATAAACTCTAAATAATTTTTCTATATAAAATTTTATTAAAATTTAAACCGATTAAAATTATTTTTCTGCATATTAAAATTCGAGTTGATAAAATTTATTTTTCTACAAATTAAAATTTGAGCCGACCTGGTTAAATTTTATTTTATTTTTAAGCATTAAAATTTGAGTCTATTAAAATTTATTTTTTTACATATTAAAAATTCGAGCCGATTTGACCTCCACTTGAATTGTTAGTGCTAATTAAAATTCGTTTTTGAGTTGATTAAAATTTATATTTTTTTACTTATTAAAATTTGAGTCAATTAAAATTTATATTTTTTTACGTATTAAAATTTAGATCGATTAAAATTCAATGCGAGTAGATTAAAATTTGATTTGAGTCAATTAAAAATAATTTTTAATTAGCTCAAATAGAATTTTTAATCGGTTCAAATTTTAATACATAAAAAAATAAATTTTAATTAACTTGAATAAAATTTTAATGGACACAAATTTTAATACATAAACAATATAAATTTTTTAAATTAATAAATTAAGTTCAAATAAAATTATTGTTATTTTTTTAGGTTTGATTTGAAAACCCAATGTAAAAATTGCACTTATACCTCTGGAACTATGTTCTTCATTTCACATCTTTTCTTAAACTATCTATTTTTTGTTACATTAGGATCGAAACTATTGAATTGAGTTTCATATAATCCATCTATTAATTTTATCTAATTTTTTCATAATAAATAAAGATAAAAATAAGATTTGACAATATAAAGAGATGCAGTTTTTCTTGATTTGCTCCTTAATATGGTAGAATTTTATTTTTGGAATAATTTATCTTGAAAATAAAAGTCATCGATCAACATAATGTGATACGCATTCCAACAATAGTGTGAGATATAATGTGAAAAGTGGAGAAGTTTGTAGGATACAGTGAAAAGAGATTTATAGTTTAAGGGATCTAAGTGTAATTTTCTAAATACCGGAGTGAATGTTGACTAGCGTGGGGCCACATAAATGTTATGTCGGATGGGATCACATTAATGTTATGATGCAGGGGTGGGGCCGCATAAATGTTATGCCCTTTCCTTAGTTCAATAGTCACTGTTAGGCGGCGTATTCACCCTACCTATCGATAGAATTTTGGACAAAATTCAGTTTATTTCCTTGGGTTTAGGTGTTTCGCACATAACTCCCTTATAATTTAAAAATTAGCACATTATCTGTTTATGTTTTTGGATCGATATGCACAATTAACACCGTAAACAGAAGTGATAAAATGACTTTAGTACTCTCAACTATACATCATCTTCTTCCCCCCTTTCAAATGTTGCCTAATTTTATAACAAATCAACTAATCACTCAACTTTACAAGCTTTTTTCTCTCTCCACAAAGCATCAAAATTCCTCAAACCAATGTCAATATCCTCCGTTCTAAACCTAGTTTTAAACCCAACAGACTTTTTTTCCTTAAATAGCCCCCATGACCCACGAATTTAAGCTCAAAGGTGATCACAAACTCATTTTGACAGGTTATGTACATATGTCACGAT